CATGCTCTCTATTCCAGGTTAATCGCAGGCGACAGTGAGTTGTGGTAAGTGGAACACATCTGACAGGCCTACGAGCATATAGACCAATGTGCCCTTAGCGTCTGTACACGATCTGCCTTGAAACTGTCGTACCGGTAGCTGAAGAGAGCTGACGAGACAGGTCTGATACTGTGCTCCGTCTGTTTCTTTTGGCAGTAACTGCCAAATATATATATACCAGTCTTCATTCGGCGTTGTAACTCGGGGGCGACCTGTGCTGTATCATCTACTCACATTTCCATCATTTTGGAATCGTTCCCAAAGCCTGGAGATGACATTCTGGGCGATTCCAAGTTCCTCGGATATTTCCGGCTTGCTTCGTCCACATTCCAGCCGTCCAATAATTCTACCACGTAAAAAATCATCCAAATGCTTTCTTTGTACCATAACTATGCGGTTATTGCACTGAAAGGCTTTTAAAGCGCTTGTGATCAATTTTACTTCTTTGCCACCATTCCTTATATACCCCTCTCTTACACTCTCATCATTGTGACGTACTATCCGCGCCATCTGGTGGTTTCCTGTAATTTGCATATTCTTCTTCAAGATGTGTGTGATAGTTCTACAGGTGAAATTTTTATTTTAAAGTTCAATTTCTGTGTGATTCTGAATTATCCTTAATTTATGGACATGAGTGTAAAATGGGCGTGGCCCAGTTTTTAACGATTATTTAAAAATAGGTTTTTAAGGTCTTTTAATTACCTTAAAGGTTAAAGTAAAGTATTTTTAGAAAGGTTAAAATCTGTACAATTTGAAAATGTTAAAAATTTAAATTGTCAAAAATATAAAGATTTTAGCTTACCAACTGCCCTTAAATATATTCATTAATGAAGATTTAATTGATGCTTTTTTAAAATCTATATAAGTTTGAGACAAATCGTGATATCAATGTTTATTTTCTGAAGAATTTGAATATTTATGCACGTTTATGCAAATCTTAACAAAAAAATAATTAGGTTTCGAAAAATTACAAAATGTTAACAAAACTTCTGAGAGTCCACCAGAGTAAAAAATACGTGAGCAGCAAAAAGGGGTTATTGCTATGAATCTGTTCAGATTTTTGTAACAATTATTGTTTTTGAAATGAAATTATTGTAACATTATATATATCTATAATTACATTAATTAATAATATTAGTTATATCAATAAGTTCTACTTTTTAGCTACAAACTATAAATGTAATCTTACAGTTTCAGAATTATTTGTTAATTTTAAATTAAATAAAAGCTAAATAGACAAATTGTTTTGAATAGTACTTAAACAATATCAAGTTTTATTTTGTATATTTATTTGTTTCAATAAATTCTTAAGAACTTTGTATTAATTAATTTTTGAATACATGGCAGATCATCTTTTGTCACATTTCCCTAAGCCTAAGCATCTTCTAACATCACGAAAAGCTACAAAGGAGAAACTGTTAAAATCGCTGTGTTTTACGGACAAATGAAGTGGAGAAATTTTCCTGTGTACTTGCAAAATCTTTTCCTCAAAATGTACAGCTCACAGAAATGTGTACGCTTGCGCAATCTCCCAAAAAAGTTTGCATCTTCGTTTGGAGGCATTAGTTTCGTTTTTCGTTAAGTAATTAATTAAGTAGTTATTCGTAAAGTTTCGTTAAAAGTACTTTACGAGAAATTTAAGTACAATTAAAAATCCCCCTAATTTTGATCACAAATATACGTAAATAATATATTGACAAGAAAGACGCAGGACAAATTTTTAAATTAAATCGTTGCGTGTATATTTATAAAAAGAAGGATATCAAATATAAAAATTATATTGTTTTACTCAATACTTGTAACCGTCGTTCATAAAAATAATAAAAAATAATTCCAGCACCAAATTAATTGACTTAAATGTAAGATGAACAAAAAAATATTAAACTCGAGGCTGTTTTAAATTATAAGGCATAAAACTAGATATCAGAATGACGCTTCTGAGATCTAAAAATTTATACTGTTCCCCGCTTCCTACATAATTTTTTTAAAAAACAGTATCAAAAGTTTACCTGAAAAACCGTGTTCCTGTATGATTAATAATTCTTTACTTTCTCAAATATCAAAACACTAATAAAAACGCACACTGCTTTTGTTTTCCATCATAATGAGACAATTTTTGTTAAAAGCTGAAAAAAAATATTTTTTATTTTATAGGTTTTACACTACATATTCCCTAACCATCGTTGTAATAAAAAAATAGAAACTACCTAAAGGGACATCTATGAACAATGAATAGTTTTTATTTCCTTTTCAGAGAATAAAAAGAAAAAATAGTTAATTAGAAAGCTTTCAAACTGACTAATTAGCCTTCAGACCAAACAAAAAATAATTGTTGATTAAAATATGGCTTCTACTCGCGCGGGTAAAGCAACAAGTCTTTGAAAATGATACATTTTCGAAAAAAGAAAAGAATTGGATAAATTTAAAGCACAAGATAACCACAAAAGAATAAGATAAAAAGCATCTATTAAAAAAGAAATGCTTATTGAGGTGTAGCATTTAAAAATATATACAATGAAACATCTGAAATTAATTAAAATTGAGAAAAATTGCTTTTGCTTTTTTAGTAATTTATAGTTGCAAAGTGAAATTTAAAATGTTCTTATTTTAGAATAGCTTTATATATATATATATATATATATATATATATATATATATATGTGTGTGTGTGTGTGTGTTTTACAAGAACACTTCCTCTGCGGTTTTTATGAAAAATTTATTTAAAATACAGAAACTTTTAAACCTTTGATTCGTTTTTTTATCAGTTTGTCGCTGCTCGTAGGTCGGGAGTGTGAGAGGATTCAGAAAAGAAGCAGACATAATCATAAAAATAGCTACTTTTATTCTATTATTAGCACTTTATGCAGTATACAATTTTATAACTTAACTCTGGGAGCTAACCCTTAATCGCTCTGAATCCTAACCTTTAATCAGATGTACTAAATTATTGAAAGTACTTATCTTGAGTTGAAGCTCCTTGTAGGATCCTTCTCGAAGCTCGATAGCTCGGTCAGCTCCAAGGATGATTACTTCACCAATTCCTGGCGGATTCTACGTTGACTTCTAATCTCAAGGCACGAGACCACCTAGTCAGTGTTCACGTTTCTAACACTTTGATTTCATGTTTCACGATCAATGATTAACCATCCACTCACATACTCAACGGCAAGTAATTAAATAGTAGTTACATTTGCATAAAATTAAGTCATTTCTATCGAAAGCGGTTTTTAAACTGAAATAATGTGGTTAATGATTAGTTTCTTCAAGATGATCAGTAGAAGCACCCGAATAGTACACGGTACAAATTGTTCATACTTTCCAAACTTATCGAAATGAATGTCCAAAATACGCCTTTTTACTTCGATCACATAATAGATATTTATGTATTTTTTTCCTTTTCATAAAATTGTTTATTATATTGTTACTTATTTATAACGATAAATTATAATTAAACATTACAACTTAATCGAAACCCGCCTCATCTCTTTTACAATAGGATTATAATTCTCTTCAAAAAATACATGTTTTCAATAAAAAAAAAGTTATCTTAAAATAAGCGGCTTTTCTTCTTTGGTTGATGGTATAATACGTAAGTATCGAAAAAGATTATGTTTGAACAAAGGTATAATTTTGATTAAAATTCTTTATTTTTTATAAGTTTCGAGTAATTATTTTACAATTTCAGTTCATGTTACCTATTTTAGAACAATTTGTTGAAGGTTATATGAAAGCGTTTATGCATTTTTTAGATTAGCGTCCACTATTTTTAACTTTCTACGGCAGTTTTTTTTTGAGCATGTTTAAAACCTGTTAATTCCCCCCCCCAAAAAAATGATTTTTCTTGTAATCTATTTGGTTTAATATTAAAATGCTTCCTAACTTGAGTTTCTGAAAAAAAATTAACTAATTTATTTTTTTAATCTTCTCTTCTCTTATCATTTCTTCTCGTTTCTTAAAATCTTTGGTTGAGTGATTGCTTACTAAAAAGTATTTAAAGTCAGTTGAATATGTTGTAAAATAAAAAAACCACAGTACTGTTAAAAACACAAATTAGCAAAATTTCGTTTTTCATGTCTTTTGGTACACCATAAGTTGAACATTCAAACTATAAAGAATATAACTTACTTTTTACACTTGTTATTTCATTACTTGGTACATCTCAATCAAAATGATACTTCAGACTCAGATGCTTTTTCGTCAACATTGTGTTTATTTATATGGCAGGATAAATTATTATTTACGGATTTTGTTGATACAATGATTAGTGATCATGATTTATTTGATCTAAAACGACGGTTAGTAGATGATGAGTGATGGAATTTTGACGGGAACACGCGCGCTTCTTTTTATTAACAGGTCCTAGGGTTATTTGGGGCCATAATTAATGGCAACTCTTTTCCAACCAAACCGAAGAAGTGAAGCGTGATGGAAAGATGGAAATTAGGAAGCTTTTAAATATTAGAAGTTAAAGTAAGCGCGGTGGCAATTTGGGGAATGATATGATAGTGCGTAATTCAAGCGTGAAGGAGTTTAGAGAGGTTAAGTGACAGCCAAAAGAAGCTATCCGTGACAGACAAACTTAGGTCAAGATGCATACCATTGCACTCCTGTGAACCTTAACTTCAATTAGGATCAGATTGGTCGCTACTTCATTTTACATTAAGGTAGGAGTGACTATTTAATAATCGGATCTGAGATCGAATTGGAATTGAGCTTAGGCGAGTTTGTTATTGATAGTGGTCTGGGTTACGTTATTTCTGTATTATATATATTGTGTGTTTAGCCACCGTAGATTCTCTCACATATATTATTGTCATCTAATCTGTTAGAGGTTTAAGTTTAAGATCTTAATAAAGTCATATTAAGATCATGGTAACTTCTAGTTCTTCATTTATTCCTACACCTCTAGCTCACACTGATAATCAAGGAATAGGGCACACGAGGGGGTGCCCTTACATTGGCGCCCAATGTGGGACACGAACCCACGACCCCTAGATTAAGAGTCTCGTGCTCTACCGACTGAGTTAGTCGGGCAGAAGACAAAAGAATGAAAAGATGCGTGAGCCCGTCACAGAATAGTCGCACAAGTTTTGTAGTAAAGCTGATATTTAGCCATTTGCGGAAGATTCATGCAAAAAATATATAAATCTGGCTAAATATCAACTCTTAGAGTGGTGTGAGTGGAGAAAAAGCATGAAGGAACGAGACATTTCACAAGATAAAAGTGTGCATCTATCTAAAATTGTTAGATTTCATTGTTGAGGTAGCAAGTATAATCGTGCAACATTAAACATTGCTTTATTATGCAGCAGAGTTCCGAAAATTCAACCTAAAGTAAACGGAAGGGTGGCCGAGTTTGTGAAAATACCGAGTGATCGAGAATGGGGTTAAAAAAGACTAAGTGCGAGTGTTTCCTGAGAAAATATTGAATTTCACTTGTATGTATTGTTTGTTTGAATATACACTGCTCAAAACAATTAGGGGAGCAAGCAAAAAAGTGAAGAAAACCGTGTGAGACAGCCACGTATTGGCATACAATGCATAGTACACGCGTATCAATGCGCAATACAGAAAAAAGGTTTAAAAAAATTTGGAATTAAGCTTTAATTCTATGAAAATATGGAAAAATCATGAAAAGATGATTTAGGGCAACAATTTGGTTACATGTAAACGATAAAAAAAGGTACTGTTTAGACATGATGCATGAGTTTTAATAGGGCGTGTGGTCTCCTCAAACAGCTAAGACTGCTGCACACCTGTTTGCCAAGGATGCGATGAGGTTATCGATCAGAATTTGGGGAATACTGTTCCACTCCTCAAAAAGTGCAATCTCCAAGTCTCGAACAGTAGCAGGCAGCCTTGGTCGCGCAGCAATGCGTCGTCCGAGCATGTCCCAAACATGCTCGATTGGATTCAGGTCAGGAGAGCACGCTGGCCATTCCCTACGCTGTATTATTTCAGCTTCAAGCATGTTCTCCACCAGATGAGCTCTATGCGGTCGGGCATTATCATCCTGGAAAACAAAGGAATCTCCAATGGCTACAGCGTAAGGGATGACATAAGGTCGAAGTATCTCGTCTGCATACCTTCGGCGCGTCAAAGTGCCATTCCGAATGATATGCAGGTCCGTACGTCCGCCTATGTTGATTCCACCCCATACCATCCAACCAGCTCTTCTGTATTGTGATCTTTCACGAACGAATGCGGGGTTATTTCAAGTGCCCCTGTCCCTCCATACAAGAACACGTCGGGTGTCACTCTCTAGACTGAATTGGGACTCGTCTGTAAACAGCACTTGGCTCCAATCATGTTGCTCCCAATCTCCATGTTCAGCAGCCCATCTTCTTCGGGCCGCACGGTGGTGTGGGGACAACGGAATGCAGACCATTGGCCTACGTGCTTAGAGCCCTCCCTCATGAAGCCGATTACGTGCTGTTTGGCTGGACACCCTTCGTCCTGTTGCCAAGAGCAACTGTCTTTGCAGCTGCGTAGCATTCTCTGTTCTGTTTCGACGGGCTGTTAACTGTATATACCGGTCATAACTTGATGTAGTGGCACGTGGCCGACCTGCCCCTGGTCGACGTCTAACATTTCCTGTTTCTTTGAATCGATTCCACATCCTTGCAACAACACTTCTGGCGACTCCAACAGTGTCCGCGACACTACGTTGTGTTTGCCCGGATTCCAGTCTGCCTATAACACGCCATGCCATGGATTCCGGTAAATCACGTTGTTCAGACATTCTCAAGTAACCTTGCCTCAAAAAAAATACTGCGCAATCGAATTTCACAGTTACGGCAATAAAACAGACGTTTTTGCAACATCCCGATTTCTGCCCTTATCTCCTTTTTCTCGTTTTTGACGTCATGAACTTTGATTTGCATATAAAGTTTTCTTTTTCCGTTTCCTGGTAGTCTTTACATTACGGATGATTCATTTTATGTTACTTATTGGTATACATCTTTGCTTACTTTTGTTAAAATCATGTGCTCCCCTAATTGTTTTGAGCAGTGTACAATAGAGATAAACCACCCAAATACTTTTAAGCGAACAAAAAATGCGTACTTTATGAAGACATAGATCATTTACTACATAAAAATGAAAGTTAATGAGTACACATAGACTACAGTAATTTACCTGATATAATGAACACACGTATAATACAATAATTTACCTGATAATGAATACACATAAAATACAGTAATTTACCTGATAATGAATACACATAGAGTAGAGTAATTTACCTGATAATGAATACACATTGAATACAGTTATTGAATATACATAGAATATAGTTGATGAATACATATAGAATATAGTTAATGAATGCACATAGAATACAGTAATTGAGCTGATAATGAATACACATAGAATACAGTAATTTTACTGATGATGAATGTACTCATAGAATACAATTAATCAAGGTATATAGAATACAGTGAATGAATATACATAGAATATAATAATTACATCTCAGAAAAATACTGTTTGAAAGCATAAAGCTTTCTATAATGAATATTAAGAGATAGTGTGTTGCCGACTTTTCAAAAACATACTACATTTTTTAGAAGAAATGTGTAATGTCCCGTTATATACCATACTGCAGTCTGCGTTTTGCCACTTCATTACGAAGATGACGAAGGAACAGCAAGTACATTACCGACGCAACTTGTGGCCTAGTTATCAGGAATCCTCGGTTACCGATCGCCGAGTTTTCAGGACACTCTTCTATATATATTAAAATACTGCCTAATAAAATAAACTGTAACTATATATAAAGATATTCTGAAAATAAAATAAACCAGGTAATTTTTTTTGAAAAAAAAAACTTATTTAGAATTAACTTCTCTTTTAGAAAATTTTCTCAGCTGTATTTTAAAAATGTATATTTTTTTTAAAAAAACTATTTCATTAAAAGGATTTTATTTATAGATTAGGAGAATGCTTCAAAGTTTATTCATTTATTTTCTAAAAAAAGCTCTTCTATTTATTAGAAACATTTTTATTTAGAGTTCTATCTTAAAGAAAAACTGTTCTAATTGTTTTTATCCTAGTTGTGACATCTGCTATTTGTTAAATTTGTCATGACATCTAAAAGGACTCTAATAAAGTTTAATTTTTAAAAGCAAAGGAATGATTATCTTTTTTCCCTCAATTTTTTTTTTAAAAATTGTCTTTTTAAAATTACTTTATAGGAATTGTTTCACTTTGCTTCAAGAGTTTTGTTGAGATATTTCTGAATTTTTTCCTGTAAGAGAAATTTTTATTGACACGTAAAAAAATAACTGTTTTTTACAAAATAATTGCCGACTTTCAGTAAATACATCGTCTATATTTGTAAGATAAAATGACATTCAACGTATATGAAATGCCCTTAAGTGTTTTTTGCATTTTAATTGATCCGACATTATAACACGGTTAAAAAAATATTGAATTCTTTATATTAGACTGGTTTAAAGTAGTTTTAATGATAACACTTCTCTCTATTTTCATGATTTTTTACAGTATTTTTAAATAACCTAAAAGAAAAATAAATTTAAATACATAATCAAAACAAAATTTGAATTCTTAATTGAAATATAATAATCTTTAATTTAGTTTATACATTAACATTTTTTACTATGTTTTAACTAATTTAAATCTGTACTACAGCGAAGCACTATTTTATTCTAATTTTTATTTTACTTCAAAAAATTAAATTTTTATGTACTTTATTTAGAGATTGTCGAGATTGTCTCATTTTCTCAGCAATACATTTAGTAACTGCTTTACACAGCACATTTCCTGAATTGATTAATTATTCAATAAATCTATTAAGAATGCAATAATATATAAATGTAATACAAAATATTGAGTATTGTATCTAATTTTTCCCATTACTATTTCGTAAGTCAACAGATTTGATTCTTTCCATAAAGCCCTCGTGTAGCTGAAGAGTGCGACGTTAATATTCAATCAATCAATCAATCAATCAATTGATTCTTTCCACATGAACTTCGGTTAAAAACAATTTAAGTTCTATTGATAAAATAAAGAGAGCCACGTCCGAACTGCTACCTTTTATTGTGTTTTCACAATAAGTCACATAAAGAACAACTTCCTCCAACATATTTGTGTCCGCGGTAGCCGAGTGGTATAGGTATCGGATCGTGGCTTGCCTTGTCACGAGTTCGGGCCCAGTACCACTAAAGACCCGCCGTGTAGGGCAGCGATGCACGTTAAATCCGTCGAGAGCTGAAATGTCCTGCCGTAGGTGTGGTGTGGTAGTTAGGAGAGGGATCGCCAGCTCAGGTGTCGTCCTCGTCACTTGACCATGGTTCAAAATTTCGTAGTCCGTCACCAAAAAGCCTCGTGTAGCTGAACAGTGCGACGTTGATATTCAAACAATCAATCAATCTACCTCCAACATATTTGCTTAGCATGGAAGATCTCATGTCGGAAAAAAAACGGTTTCTTGATTTGCAGATTCATTTAGAGCAAGGGTACTCAACTTTTTTTTTTGCTGAGCCACATACATGTGTTAGTTATTTCACGCGGGCCGCAAAATGAGAATAAATGAGGAAGGGGGGGGGGAGAAATGCTTTAAGACCAAGATAACATTTGAAATTTAAAATGTGGAAAAATTGATTAAAATATTATATATAACTTCTGTGTTTTACTTTTTTAATTATTATTTTCTATTTTAATATCACTAAATTAGAAGCATTTAAGAAACACCCTTCACAATTCCTGCATTAGTAAACGGTTTCATACGATTACTAATAATGTAACAAACTCTTCATAGGTTGCCTTTGTTACCATTGTGATATCACCCCTGACAAAACACTTTGATGCTGTTGCAAAAAGTATTTAAGAAAGCCTATTTATCATCTCTTGAAAGAGATCTTCGACAAAATGGACATTGTATGTGATTCTTGTTCACTTTTTTTTAAAAAATACAACACTTTCGTGACAAATCAAACAATTTACTTAACCATGCTTGTTTTTCACTACAAAACAGTTAACCTCCCAATCAAAAATAATCTATTTTGTTC